TAGGACTATAAATAAAGAAGATATGGATGAAGAAGTTTGTGAAGTAATGGATGAAGAAGATATTGATGTAGATGAAGAAGTTAAGAATGGTAAAGTAATGGATGAAGATAGTGGAGATGAAGCAGTTGAAGGACCTATGTATACAATAAAGTACATTATAACTACACAAATGAACATACACTGTACCTGTCACTAATGTACTAGTTAATCTAGTGGTAGGAATAGAAGTAGAGCTACTGATGGTAGGAGTATCTGTAGTACTGCTTATGATGGAGCTACTTGTAGTAAGTTGTACTCTTGAAGTAGTTGAAGTAGTCAACACTGATAAAGGAAATGTCACAAATTCAGACATTATTGATGGAGTTGGTACAGGCGGCACCATTGTTGGTAAAGATGTCATTGATGAAGTAGTTGGAACTGTTGAATTAGTTGCTACTGGTGAAGTAGATATTGTCAATGGTACAGACATCTTTGATGGAGTAGTCAATACTGTTGATGTGAGTGATACTGATGATGAATGAACTGATGACATTAGAACTAAAGATGTAAAGTCATCAGTAATATTAATATCAGTTATTACAGCAAGAGGATTAGATTCACAGTTCTTTATGGTAGCTAACTCACATGCATACAATCTTAAGTTATTACCAGCTGGTATGTCATCAATACACTGAATAAAGGTGAATTGATTATCAGGAGATATGAGGTAAGACTCAGTATAGTTCATATTATCAGTGAAAAGAATAACATCACTATTAGGTGTACTGCCATTGATATACTGAAACTGAAGACAAACAGAATTTGATGTGATATTAATCAATGTAAATTTCTGAAGATCATGAGTACCTTAAAATAAGTAAAATAATGTCATAATGTATTAATTTGTATTACTTACTGATTGTTATAGTGTTGCTTTGAACTGTAACTCCATTTTGATAGTACAAGGTAGCATTAGTATTCAGTGTCTTATTTGATGGAAATTGAACAACAAGTGAAATAATATTATTATAAGAACTATTGCTTATGGATACATTTGTTGTTGAATAACAGTTATCCTTAGTACATCCTTTCAAAGTAATGTTCATTAGTGACGCATTATTGCAAAACTGATGAACCTAAAAAGAATACATAGCCATGTTGTCTTAAACAGGTAATCACAATAATTAATGGAATGTGATTATTAAGAATCTATTCTTAGCGTAGAAACTTACAGATACATTAAAACGAAAAGTCCAATTTACATTCCCTTTTTCCTTATCAGTTACATATAACTGCACATCTACTGTATAGAGTAATCACTTTAGGCTCTCAATAAGTATAATTACTTACTTGTTGATTGAAATCCAACAGTTATGTTACTAGTAGATCCATTCCCAGCTTTATTAGTAGTTATAATGTTAAACAGATATTGTTTATTGGTTGGGTCCATTGGACAGTAAGTGTAGTTAGTGATAGAGTCACTAAGGTACTGTTGATCAGTTCCCACACTGATTATATACTGTACTGTTAGTCCTGGTAGTGTGAATGGAGGATACCAACTGATAAACATACAGCAAGAATCTAACTGATATCCTGTTAAATTACCGACACTATCAGGTGGACCTGGGAATGATTAAAAATTACAATAAGTATGTGTTATACTGACCTTGTACATATAAATATGCTGGTGGAGTGGCAATTGGTGCTCCAATGAGTCGTTGGGTAGTGCAGATTACACTTGTATCATTTATTTCACTTGTTGCTGTTAGTTTGAGTAACAACATTTTTTTACCATTTAGTAATGATAATAATGATACTAAACCTATAACTGGTGGATAAGTCACAAAAACTAGACCAATTTGAGTCAATCTGTTAGATCTAGCACATTCAAATGTCACAGTATCATTGATATAAGCATATTGTGTCACAGGTACAATAAAGAAGATACTTGCACCTAAAATAGTTCAAATTTTTAAATATAAAATTAGAATTTTACCAGAAAAGCAAATTTGGCCGAGTATTGTTAGAACAACAACAGGAGCACAGCCATTATTGGGCCCTCCCACGCAATTTGAAGGTGCTAGAAACATTAATGTGTGAAAAGAAGGCGTGGTGTGGTAGGAGTATAATTATGTCGTCTGCAGAGTTACCGGATCTGAGGACAAGAGAAGAGATTCATGATTACCTGAAGGACCTGTCAAGCCAGCTAGGCCTCTCATTGTCTGATCCTCAGTTTGCTGTAGCTCTTGACTCACGCGATCAGTTGAAAAAATTAAGGGAAGAGTTTAACGCTGATGGTA